TTCCTCCCCCCGCCCCAGCGTCCCTGGGGGTCCCCACTTTCCGCCCCAGCGCCCCTGACCTCGGTGCCTTCCTCCTGCCCCTCCTCCCACGGCCCGGGACGGTCTCTCCCCGCACCCCGGGCGGGGTTCCGCGGCGGATCCCCCGCGGATCGGGAGCCGCGGAGCCCCTGCTTAGGTCCCGGGCGAAGCAAGCAAAGCGAAATAACCCTCGAAAGAAAAAGGTTAAACGTGCTTTATAATTAATCCTGAGGCCATAATCTCCTTGCTTATTTGTTTTTCTATTCATCCATCTATTCACACTCCTTTAGATCCGTGAAGGGGGAAAAATTGCTTGGGTGTATTACATCGTCCCGAGGAACCAGGGTAATATAATACGCTAGGGAAGACAGATCCGTCGGGATAACATGGTACTGTGCTCAGGGACAGGCATGTGTTTTTTTATTGTTCATGTCACTGCCGTTGTTAGACTGATTTCTGCCCACCTCCGAAGGAAAAACAAACAAACAAACAAACAAATAAAAAAAACAGCAACAAAACAGCAACAAGCAAACACTGCGTTATCATCCTGCAGAATAAGCGTTCACGAACACGACAGTAGCGTGGCGAAGTAAGCCCTAGCACTGCCATTTCATCCCCAAAACATCCCTATTTCTGGGGAGAGTCTGGGGTCCAATACTGCTCACTGGTCTGGGCAGGCGAAGAGATTTTCGTTCCCTCCTTTTGTAAACGAGTGGCATTTTTATGAGGCAGACGCGAAGCAAAGACGTTCCCCCATCCCGGCTTCTCCAGTTCTCTCTCATTTCGTGCTGTTATTTTCTTTCTTTCTCTCTTTCTTTCTTACTGCTTTCCCCCCGCCCCTCAAAAGAAAAAAAAAAAAAACCCAAACCCAAAACCTCGCACTTTTATCGCTGTTCTGGGGGTCGAAATGTCGAGAGTGTGATCCTGTGCTCGATGCTGTAAGTTGATGCCTTCGAATAAGTTTGCATTTTCAAAAATAGTTTTCAAGTCCTGTTCTCAGAACACGAATGTAGGATCCCCAAGTGTCCCTAAAGCAAGAAAGAGGCTGGAGATATGCTCTTCTAACTGGAGATTTCTCTTTTCCCGGAGGAAGAATGTTGGTATAGCTGGGGGTGGGTGCGTGCGTTAATAAAACAAAAATCGCAATTCTCTTTGGAGAAGTAGCAGATTAGTTGAGACGGTAAACACAACAACGGCAATGATACCTGCACGTGCTGGCTTTAAGGGAGAAAAAAAAAATGCACTTCCAGTTACAGAAACCATCATTCCGGAATAAATACTTCAACATCGAAATAAAGGGCAGTAAAAGACCTTAGTGTCTAACGGGGAGGGAGACATAGAAAATTATTCCCACGCGAAAATAGTTTATAATCAAAACGGGTCGTTGGTATATTATTCCATCCCAGAGTATTACTGGAAGCTGTAGCTGAAAGCTGCCTGGATAACGTATAGTCTGATATTTACGTATTTGTTAAAAAATAAAAATATTTGGACTTGTCAACCTACTGGCGATTGAACTGAAGTTTCAGGTTAACTGTCTTGTTAAATGCATTTGGTTTAAATATCTGGTGTTTAAGTTATGAAGGGTATGCTGTTCCAAAACCTTTATACTCGGATGGATTTTTATGATGTCCCTTGCTAATTTGCATTATGTCAACTTGTAACGGTGGGGAACCTAATACCGGGAACGGGATACAAAACCACTATTAGCACTGACACGCAGGGAATACGCTGCGCTTTTCCACAGCGAGGATCTGCTGTCGATTAGGAATGTTACAACTTCAAGAGACTCGTAAAAAGTGAAGGCATCTGCTCCCAAAGCCAGCCACGTTTGTAGGATTTAGACGTGACAGCGAAACCCAGTTCGTTTCGAGAGATCTGTGGGGTGATTGGGGAGATGGGAGCCCCCATCTCTATTCCCCACCTGTATCCCCTTCCCAAAACCATCCCCGTCCCCGTCCTGCCCCACGTATCTGCAAGGTGAAGG